GTCAAAGTGCAGCATCGCAGAGAGCCCCTACCAATCTCTTAGCGTCTATCGCAAACCGCTACCATTGCAGCAAGCACCTATTAAGCCCCTATCATCCACTGCAGCATTGCACCAAGGCCCTAGCACCCACGGCAGTTCGCAGCAAGGCCCTATCAAGCCCCTATCAGCGCAGCAAGGCCCCCCTATAAAGCCCCTATCATCGCAGCAAGCCCCCCCTATGACCCGCTGCAGCATCACAGCACAGAAAGCCCCCCCATCATCCGCTGCAGCATCGCAGCAAGCCCCCCTATCATGCGATGCAGCATCTAATCAAGCCCATATCATCCACAGCATCATCTCAGCACCCCCCTATCATCGCACCAAGCCCCTATCAAGCCCCTTCCATCCACTGCATCAAAGCAACCCCCTATCATCCATTGCAGGACCGCAGCAAGCGCTTATCAAGCCCCTATCATGTGAACTGGTGCCAAAGATTCTCTACACTGTAGCATTGCAGCGAATCCCCCCGCCCCAACCACCACTCTCTCCGTGTCGCTGTGCTGCTCGTCACAGCGCTGCCCATAGCATTCACGACAAAGGGCCTCGCCCCACGGCGCACGAAACGAAAACGAAACGAGTGCATCTGCCCACGGAAGGTGGCAACACACACTCGATACTATTTATAGCAAACGGATGAACCTGGCCATTTTCTGCAGGAAGATGCACTCGTTTCGTTTTTCGTTTCGTGTGCCGTGCGGCGACGCCCAAAGACCTATCTACCTTAAGCCAGCACTATGTCTGAAGTGCCTTGATAGCACACCAGTACTTTCAAGCAGAAGACTGGACACCGGTCATCAGCTCTGAATCTGGTCACTCTGCTATTATCGATTCTGAAGCTACGCATATCCCTTACCTTCCTGTCATTTTCTTTGTTATACACCCTACCCTTCATTGTCTTGCAATCTCCTGTTGCTACTACAACCCGTTCATACCCCTTTAACCACGTGTACACGGCCCCAGCCTCCAAGAAATTTGTTCAGCGCGTCCTTCAAAAATTTCCCAGCTTGGGCCTACGGGACCACGGTCGCTGGGCGGTGCCAGCCAAACCGGAAAGGTGTGCCACTGGCCGTTCCAAAAAGCTCGGCGAGTAGTCCAGCGCCTCCAGGCCCGAGTGTACTAGTGGTTTAATCTCCTTACCTACCTGTCATTTGCTTCGCTATACTCTCCCTACCTGCACAACGACACCCGTTCATTGTCTTGCAATCACCTGTGGTTACCACACCCCCTTCATACCCCTTTATATCTCTATAACTAGTATAACCCCCCCTGCCGCTGACCCCTTCACAAGTCCATGAAATCCCCCATGCTTCATCCACACACCTTCATCTCTCTGCGTTCCCCTCCGGCTATCTCCTCGTAGACAACCGTCTCTGAAATTCCTTTGCCGCGCATCCTTTGCTGTTCCCCTTTTTTTTTTTTTTTTTTTTTTTTTTTT